ATGAAGTCTCTATGCAAAATCTGCGCCACTCCACAAAACGAGTCTGTTAGTTTCTAAGGAAATGGATTCCATTGCCACACTGGTCATTGATTTGGTGATATCTTATTTCCATATGTACTGTGATAACTGTAATCTGGCCTAAACAGTCCTGGGAACCAGCAAACTGAACTTTGATCACAGTGCACATTGACTATTGGGAGAAAAGAGTTGTGAAAGTTCCAGACAGGCGTCTGTTCCCTGCAAGACTCCATGTACGTTAGGCAAAGGAAAAGACTAATGAGTGATGTCATGATGATTTGTAACATAGAAGAGCTGTGGTGAGATCAGCAGTTAGGAGAGCAAGAATTTTACTGTTTGTAAAATAGTTTTAACATTAAAATGTCAGATGCTGGAGAAATGGGTCGGTGGGAAAAATGCTTCACACTCAAGTATACAGACTGCAGCTTGGATATCCTGCATGCAGGCAAATGCCAGAAAGGCATGAAGGCTGAGCTAGAAGAACCCTGACTAAGTAAGGTAGCTAAGTCAGCAAGTGCTGGGTTCTATTGAGAGAATGTGTTTCCATATATGGTACGTGGAGTGTTGGAGGAAGACATGAAGCAACATCTTCAAGAATACACATACATATATGTACACGCACATACACGTGAGCATGCACACACATAAAGTAATATGATGTCAAAATACCATACAAATAACTAACTTCTCTTTTCTGCATGTGTATATGTCTCATAGAAAAAAAATATGATAGAATGGCCAATAAGAACTCTAGTCAATTGTCTCATTTTATAAGTGGCAAGACTTTAATGGATAATGTGTAGAAGTTAAGTCTACATAACTTCCTAGAGGAAGGGAGGTGAGGAGAGGTACTGAAGGCGTGGGTGCACCAAGGGAACCTATTGTTTCTGCTTTGATGTCTACAACTGTACTTTTTCCCACTGTTTATTGCAGTTAATTAAACACCAGACTTCTCTATAAAGGTGGGGCTCCAAGTTCAGTTGTCATTAAACAGTGTTTCTAGAATTGTGTTTTCTGAATGTTAAATATAGATGTTTTCATTCTAAGGGGAGTAGGAGTTAGAATGTTTTAATGTTTTATGTTGTGCTTGGGACCTTTTTATTTATTTGTTTGTTTTAAGCTTTGTTTAATCATCTACCTTCACAGACCCTTTGAGGTCTGGGGCTACTGTAGCTGGTTACTATGCTGATGGTGAACTCAGCTTGATAGTTTAAAACTTCTCCTCTGAGAGGTCTTTGCATCAGCCTGATCTTAGTGTTTATTGTTATTATTGTCAAACATTTTTACCAGCCAGATGAAACGTATCACTATTATTGAAATACTTAGAAATTTAATTATTTTCTCATTGAACAAACATGAAAATACCCTTTGAGTAAATCATGCAGTTTTTCTACATTTTCCATAATTTAAAAACACCATCTCAATGATGGAAGTCCCAATGCCTGAAATTCGTTAACAGTTACTCCATGAACATGCAAATGGCTTTACAGTTTGTCTGCTGTTTCTTGGCACAGCAGCCAGGGTACCTCTCAGTGTCTCATGTGTGGTTACTCTTGGCAGGTTCAGGGAAATCAATTTTGATTGTTAGTCTTACATTTCATGCTTCAGTGGCATCCTTAGGTCTTTGAGCCAACAGGGTAGTGATAAGTTCTTGTGCACAATGCAGCTTTTAACTCTTTTATGATAATGTTCTTAAACTCGAATGCCAGTCAAGCTGAGCATGACTTCACGCCAGTGATGATGTGGACTCTTTTCTTCTTGCTGCTGCTTCCTTTTGCCAAACAAGCGTATTGTGTTCACGTTGGCTCCTCTGCTGATCCCAGTTGAACTGTGCTGTTTTTTGCCAGCTTTTTTTATAAGGGTCTTTGCTGTAGAACTATACAGTATATAGGAAATGCCATGAAGACACCTACTGTTTATATCAACGACAGTCTTTATCTACAGTGTTTTCAATCGGTTCTTTGGGAATTCCATGCACACATTGAATGTATTCTGATCATATACCTTCCCCAGTTCTCCTACTAATTCCTCCTAGGTCTACCACTTACCCCCTATGCACTGACCCCCAACTTCATATCTCTTGTTTCTCATGGCCCACTGAGTCAGCTTAATAAGGTGTACCACATGAACACAGCACCCACTGTATGGCATTAACGCTGACCTATAAGCGTGAATCATTATTCTTCTTATAGATACTTCATAAAATTTTGATATTTTTCTCTAAATATAAATGTGATACATGGCTTGTATTTTTAAAAAGCTGTATTTGAAATAAACAAACGGGGACTGGCCAGAGAGCTCACTGTATTAAGTTACTTGCTGCCAAGCCAAAGAATCAGAGTTCGATCCCTGCCTCTCACATGATAGGAGAGGACTGATTCCAGGACATTGCTCTTTGGCACTCCCACATTTGTGTCATGGCACCTACATGCCATGTATACATACATACGTATATACACGTGCACATGCACACCATTCGCAGGCACATACTCAGACACACATATACCCCACACATTCACACACACACATGTACACACCCACACCACATGCCACACATGCAACACACACAACACTTAATACATACGTGGACATGAATATACACATAAATAAATGCAATAATAATATTTAAGACATAAAAGTAGAAAATTAGATAAAGTTATTAGGTATTCTCTTCACCAATGATATATTTTTTTTAAAAAAAATCTAACCTAATTATAGTGAACCTTATTTTTTATAGTGTTTCTTTTTTTTGGAGAGAGAGATTTTTTTTTCATTTTCCAAATATCTTAATATTTTGTCCTTTAAAGTTCAATTAAAAATTTCAAATTTTCATGAAAGCAGTACAATGTCTTAGGGCATGTGTGTCATTTGCTTTCCTGTCTCTGTGACAAAACATCATGTCAAAAATCAACTAATCAAGGAAAGAGTTTATTTAGCTCATGTCTTCAGAGCTGTGTAAATCTATCATGCCAGTTGAGGCATGGTGGCATCCTTAGCTGCCATCGTGAAGCAGAGGGAGCAGAAGGGAAGTGGGGCAAAGCGAAGCTGTGACTGCTCAAAGCCTGCCCCCAGTAATGTCCTTCCTGCCATCAGCCTGCATGTCTCCAGACAGAGTCACCACCTGGGGACCAAGTGTTTAGAAGTCTGAACTTGTGGGAGACATTTCTTATATAAACTATCACGTCTTATTAGTGTCTCAGAAAAGTATAGGTGGAGAGAATAATTTCGATTGCACAGAAATATCCTGGATGATTTTTCTACAAGTATATGAGATGAACTTGATAATATGTATTGCTAAAGTAGGTTCTAGCCCTATTTGGTGGTATTTTTGTGAATGTTGTCATAAATAACGTTTATCTGTATGACATGTGTAATTATCCTAAAGCTACTAGCAGCACACTTAAATTTTCACATTCATTTGTAAATACTTGGTCCTAGCTATTTTTCATAAGTCTGGCAAAGTTTGGTAATGATAGGTGATTTTGTTCAATTATTTTACATTTTAATGATTAGAGAAGAAAATAGTTTATTTTGTTTTGATTTATTTCTTTGTTTTTAAGACAAGGGCCACTTCACATAGTACAGACTTGCCTTAAACTAACTAAAAAACCTTTTAGTGACCTTAAACTCCTGCCTCCTGTCTGGGATGGCAGGCATTGATTTTCTTGACTTAAAACCAAGACATGCATACAACAAAAAAGAGTATTATAGGCTAATTTCTCTTATTTGTTAATGTTACTTTCAAGATGAAATTTTCCACTAATAATAGAGAACTCTTCATGAGGACTGCTTGATGGTTCTCTTTTCCCCTCAAATTCTCTGCCTTTTTCAATATTTTGTTTTTATGGCACGGGATGGTGAGGATACTGGCGTGAAACTTGCCCAGAGCTAGGCAAATGCTATAGTCGTAAGATGCAGCCCGAGTGTTTTAGTCTTACTATATATGCCTCATTCCTCCTCAAACTCTAACATCGAAAAAATGTGACTCAGACAGAGAAAGAAGCTGCCACTTGCCTGCTGTTGCACAGTGGGATGACTGTAGGAGAGGAGAATATCCTGTGAGGCTTACCAAGCCAGAAGACCTTTGAGCATTTTCAATGCAGAAAAATGATGAGTGATTTAGGGGCAAGATGTGCTGACCCTGGTTTGAATATTATACAATATGCAATCTATTAATAGATCACACGCATAACCGTTTGAAATGGTTTTTAAAATAGTTATTTATTTTTATTTTCATGTGATGTGTGTGAATGTTTTGCCTGCATAGCTGTAGGTGCACTAGTGGTTCACAGTTTGTGGTGTCATGAACCCCATCAGATATCCTGCATATCAGATATTTACATTATAATTCATAACAGTAGCGGGCTTACAGGTGTGAAGTACCAGTGATAATCATTTTCTGCTTGGGCGTCACCACAACATGAGGAACTGTATTAAGGTTGCAGCATTGGAAAGGTTGAGAATCACTGATATACATCACCTGTATGAAGTTTCGTAAGAGGTCAGAGGATGGCACCAGACCAAATGAAACAGAGTAACAGGTGTTTAGGAGCTATCATGTCGGTACCCTGTAAGAACAATAAATGCTCCCAAACAGTGAGATATCTCTCAAACCTCTCTCTGTGATTCTTATGGGCCAATATATATTTTCTAAAGGTATAACTTTTTTTTTGAAACTGTGGACCCACAAAATCAACCATGACAAATTTTACTGAGTATCAAAACAGCAATGTGACCTGAAATTTGCTATTCTGAAATGTATAGCTCAATTTATTTGCTTTTGATTTCTAATAGGGTGCAGACGTAGGACAGGGTCTCACTAAATAGAACTCATGATCCCCTTGGCTCAGCTGCCTGTATATCAGGTTTATGAATGTGTCCTCCATCCTTGACAACTATTCCTTTTGCAGCCAGGAAGCCTGCATTAGCTCAATTCACCTCCAGACTTTCACCATCCCTGATCTCCTGTTTTCGTGTCTCAGTCAGGAACCAGCATCACCGTGGATATTGCCGTGATGGGCGAGGCCCATGGCCTCATTACCGACCTCCTTGCAGACCCTTCCCTGCCTCCGAATGTGTGCACATCTCTGAGGGCCGTAAGCAACCTGCTCAGCACCCAGCTCACCTTCCAAGCCATCCACAAGCCCAGGCTGAACCCCACTGTAACCTTCAACGAGAATACCTGCTCTGATTCTGAGGAGGGCTTGGAGAAAGACAAACTGGCCATTCCCAAGGTAGGTGTGGCATGAAGGATTTGGTCTGAGCTTGTCTTTCCATAGTTTCCAAGGTTTCCTTCCTGCCATTTCTGAGTACTGAGGCAGCGCCTTCCCGTGTAGAGCTGGGAACCCAGTAGTAGCTGTGTGGCCCAGTTTGCTCCTGTCCCTCACCTGAGACTTCCCAGTGAACACCAGGCTTGGCTTGCTGCTCGCTGTCTTCCTCATTTCAACTTCCGTGTCTCGCTTTCCCGGATAGTAATAGACGAAATTCTGCCTGTACTGTTTCGTCAACTGTTCCCTTTTGCTTGCTTCTTTCCATTGTTTTACATAAAAGCAAATGGTCTACAATATGGTTGTGATAAAGTGAATATTCCTTCCAGCGCCTGAGAAGAAGTTTGCCCCCAGGCTTGCTGAGAAGAGTCTCATCGACTTGGACAACCACCACCTCTGCCACAGGTCTGCCCACCTTGGAGCCTGCACCAGTGCGGAGAGACCGCAGTGCCAGCATAAAGCCGCATGAAGCACCTGTGCCCAGGTTAGATTCCTCTCCTGCAGGCTCCATGGTTCCTCAGAGGAGTTACTTGCCGAAAAGGACTCATAGAGTTCAAGAGGACAGAGGTCTAACCAGAGTTACTGAGAAGTGAGGTTTGAACACACCAGATTTTCATGCTTAAATGCTGAGCACTTTAGGGCTAGACTTGAATGACCTTAAATGTAAATACTAAGAGTGAGTTGGGATGACCCCCTGTTCTTAGAAAAAGACTAAGGCCAGAGGGAGGGCACACTACACTTTACCTGAATTGAGATCCACACTGAGAATTTTAACTTGAAGGCATCTAGTATGCCTTTTACGTATGATCCCTAACATGGCCTGTCAGACCTACTGTGCATTAATTCCTGCAGAATTAGTGAGATTATAGATCCAAAAGTAGATGTCATTTTAACAACACTTGGATATATTCAAATATTATAAATTTCTCTGTGCATGTGCATTTATATGTATGTGTGTATGTTTTTGTTTGTGTTTGTGTATTTGCAAGTGTGCTGATATATGTGCACACATTTGTGTGTGCTTGCATGTGCACATATATGTGCGTGTATGTGTGTATATTTGTGTATGTGTAAATGTGCATATGCATATGTGTTTATGCATATCTGTATGTGTGCATGTGTATGTGTGTATATATGTGTCCATGTATGTATGTCTTTAAATGTGTTATGTGTATATGTGTGTTTTTTCCTATGTATATGCATGTATGTATGTGTATACATGTGTCCATGTATATATGTATATATATATATGTGTATGTGTACATGTGTATATATGCATATAAATGTCTATATATGCATATGTTTGTGTATGTTTCTCTGTGTATGCGAGTATGTATGTGTGCATGTGTGTCTCTATATGTGTGTATAAATGCATGTGTATATGTGTGAGCATGTGTGTCTATGCATGTGTTAATGTGTGTATATTCTATGTATGTGAATAAATATATGTATATATGACTAAATGCATAAATATGTATATATGCACTTATGTATGTATATGTGTGCATGTATATATTTATTTATATATGTGTTCATATGTATGTATCTATTCATGTGTGTGCATGTCTATGTATGAACATGTATTGTGTATGTGTATACATGTGTGTGTATGTGTGTCCATTCACATATGCATGCATGTTTCCTGGACAAATACTCTTACCCTCAGCCATACCCTAAGCTTTGCATTTTATGTAGTATATTAACAGTATATTAAATTAAAATTTTATGTGTAAGTCCATTTTCCATTATTGACCAAGTGCCTAATATAGATTAAGGATTATTTCAGTGATTCCCACTTGTGGTCTCTCAGATTTTGCTTTGGGACTTTGGAGTCATAATCCACCAGGGCTGAGGAGCCAGGACACATTGTTGCTGCCAGGACAGACAGAAGGGAGAAAAGCAGGACAGAAGGGGAAGGCTCATATCCTAACATGCCCTAGAAAGGACCAACCCCACTGACCTAATTACATTTCAAGGTCCAGTCTCTGAAGCTGCAGACTCAGCCTTTAGCACATGACCCTTGTGGGAAATCTAAGCTCCAAATTCTTTTAGTGACTGAAAGGCGAAAATGAAAAAGGCTATAGAAATGGGAACATTGGTATCTAAAATGAATTTGTAAGAAAACACTTCTTAAAAATGTGCTTTTAAACACAGCTACTTTTACAACTTGGAAGAAAATGAGAATACTTTATATGACATCAGCACTTACAGTAATCCTTACCCTATAATTCCAGAACTATGGAATATACGTAACAGCTTATATTGACCAAATAACTGAAAATACCCATGTCTGCATGTAAATATTTAATAGCCATGTCTGAAATAGTTTCCTCTTCATGATAACAAGGTGGCAAGCTGAACATGGGAACAGCAGCTCCCCAAATCCTGAGACTTGGGTGAGGACGGACTTCCTTTTCATTTAGTGAAGTTCTTCTTTCCCACACATACAGAACAGTGACTGAACCTGTTCATGCGTCTTCACCAGCAGCCAGGCCACCTTCACCCTTAGTGTTCTGTGTCTAATCTACTTGAGCCCTGTGCTTTGAAATACAATAAACTCTCTACCAATGGGCTCCTGAAGAGCTGCTCTGCTCAGGGACTGCATAGTCATCCTCCCAGACTGATGAGGAAGCTCAGCCAATTACATTCTGTTTAGGGTGTGGCCCCTTGAGGCCAAGAAGTAAAGATAAAAGCATCCAACTGTGCTTGCCCCTCCTCTTTGTGTGTGTGTGTGTGTGTGTGTGTGTGTGTGTGTGTGTGTATGTGTGTGTGTGTCCCGCGCTTCTGTGTTCGTTGGATCCTTGGTTGTGTAAGTGTTCCTTTTCCCCAATTATTAAATCTTTTGTATTAAACTGGTCTGGTTAATTCTGTCGATCGATCATGCCCATCATCAGACCACAGCTGAGAGGATCAGTGTATCACTGGGAACACTGTACAGATTTCACGCTGTGATGGCTTTGTTAAACAGACCGGCTGATTGAATGTCTCCCTAGTTTTTCCTTTAGGTACTTCTTTTCCTTGACCCTGCTCTAGACATATTTACTGCTTCTTTGTCTTTCTTGAATAACTGCCTGGCATCTCTCTACTTGTTGTCCTGGACTGGCCCTGAATTTCAGTTCTTACCTGTTCATTAGTTCTAAGCAGGAGCAAGCCAGCACTGGTCATTGAAAGCTGACCAGTACCATGAGGCTCATACCAAATTATATGCAGACATGACTCTGAACTATAATGCTTTTAAATAGCATATATTAATTTATGATGTTTTTATTCATTGTATAACATGATAAATTAATATATAGCAGGTTAAAGTGGGATAGATGTAAGTAGGATGTTATTAATTTTGACTCCATTGCATTTTATTTTATAAACTTTTCAAAATAAACACATTTTAATTATTTTTTAAAAACACTTCTTTTGAAGTCTTTTTTAATTTTTTGTGATTTTGCCTGCATGCATGTATATATGTGCTACATATGGTATAGTACCTTGGGAAGTCAGAAGAGGGTATTTGATCCTCTGGAACTAAACCTGGGTATTGTTATGAGCTGCCATGTTGATGCTGGAAATCGAACCAAGGTCCACTCCTAGAGCAGCCAGAGCTTTTAACCACTGAGCCATCTCTGAAAGCCCCCATTTAAATGTATATTGGATGTAAAAAAAATATCACAGGTAAGCAGTTTTTGACTGAGTCTCAATAAGTTATCTTTTTAAGATGTTAAATGATGTTGAGTTCTTCAAAAAGTCTGACTAGATGAGTAATAATTTACCACTAATAGTCTAAGAAATGAAAAGATAGATAATATACATTACATAACCCTTTCCTAGTTAATTTCAGCAGTTACTAAGGCAAGAAGAATGGGTGAACAGAGACTAATACCACAAAGAAATCATTAACTAATACACAAAGTTTTTTCCCATCTCATTCACAAAATTCCAGACATTTGTGAAAGGCTAAAAATGAAATTTTTAATGATGCCTTGAGACAAGCATTTTGTAGTCTTCAAATGTTCTTGACAATTGTAGGAGTTCATTTTTCCCTTCAAGTGTCTCTTTTGTCATATATGTGGTAGAGTTGTTATTGAAAAGTAAGCACAAAGGGAGGCTTTTAAAATATAACCATTGAAGGAAAGTCTCGTGACGAAGGGGCTCATGAAGTACCATCCTTCACTAAAGAGTTCTGGACATTTGATGCCTGCTGGGAGAGGCAGAATCCTTGTTCTTCAGGGCCATCTCTAAATTATCCCTCATCAACTATGCATCTAACATGAAAAGCTCAATACATCCTTGATTCTTAATTCTATCAGCCTTAGAACTATTTATACAGTATGCTACCCAGACAGATCAGATACATCCCGTTCAATCTGCAAATTTTAGATTTTCAACCTTCACCAAATTTACTGCTGCATAAAAGAACACACAGGTGTTGGCAAAACACAGACCAAGCACTTTTCACTGGGAGCCATCCAAGGTTGTCTGCACAACTTCCTGAATTCTGTTCTGTCCCAAATTAGGGTGGATAATGCTTCTGTTTCCACATGTAAGGTTTGAGGCAGTATGTAAAGAGAAATTTTGGTGTGGAAGACCTCCAGGAATCCTATGCCACTAATTACATGGCTTCTGTTACCTTCTCTGTGCCTAATCCTCTGTGGATTGATTGATTCCAGATTTGTTTACAGGAAGCAATTTGATGAACCAAGTCTCTGTTGATAAACACTTTGCCTAGGTAAAGAGAACCTGTAGCCTCTCCCCTCATAATATGGTCAGCATGTTAGTACCATGTCCATCATGAGTGTGTTTCAATGTGGTGTGACTAGGTTAGTACATTCTTTCCAAGGTATCACCAGTAGAAAGAAATCTTAGAACACTGCTATAAGCTGCTGCTAACAGGTTTTTATTTGTTTGTTAGTTTGTTTGTTTGTTTTCTGAGTCAGTGCTGAATTGCCCGACAGATAAATGACACTCTATAGGTCTGCTTCTTTTGCTCAATGTGATAAGGAAATACTGAAGCAAGACATTGTTATTTAATGGCTTGATCAAATGCTAGTTATGGAGTGTATAGTCACCAATATTATTGTATAACAAAGAGTACCTAAATACACATTATGTCTCTCTCTGCTCCTAAAAGGAAAGTTGTATCTCAATGAATCTTCTAGATAGCTTTGGAAAAATCTGTAAGAACATGACTACACATGTAGGAGCGTGTGTGGTGTTTTTATGAAATGGATAGATTGGGAATGCCATCTTTGCTCTCTGTGTTTGATGAGAGACGAATAGATACACAACTGCAATGGAGGCTGGACTTAGCTTATTCTATCACTTGCAAGTGAAGTGATTCTGGCAGAAATCTGGGAACAAATACTCAGATTGGTGTGTCTGTTGCAGAGGTGGTGGTTGGGTTGTGGCAAGATGTGCTCGGCAATGGATGTCTAATCTCTCTGTGGTCTTTAATTCTTGTCATTGTAGTGCTCTGAATCCCGACTCTTGGAATGCCCCAGTGTCGATGACTCTCACCAAGAGCAGATCCTTCACTTCATCCTATGCCATCTCTGCAGCTAACCATGTAAAAGCGAAAAAACAAAACAGGCCAGGTAAGCAATGCACACTCTGGGTGTACAGTCCCGTTTTCTATGTGTACAGTGTGGTAATGAACTATGACATTAAAATGAATAATAAGATTTTAGTTGGGAAAGTGGAAGGAATTGGGAGATTCACCTCACTTAATCTAAGTCCACGTTCATGCTGGGATCTGTAAATTGGGTTTGGTGAGATACAATTATGATTCCAGCATTCAGAAGACTGATGCAGGAGGATCAGGTGTTCAAGGCCTTGGAAACTGGAGAGTGGTTAAGAGGACTCTCTGCTCTGGCAAAGGATGGGAGTTTGCTTCCCTGTACTCATGTCAGGAAACCACCTGTAACTCTAACCTCCAGGGGATCCCCAACCCACTTCTGGCCTCCCTAGACACAGCACGTGTGTGCGTGCACACACACACACACACACACACACACACACACACATACACACACACACTTGCAGCTTGTGCACACCACTTTATTACTTTTGTCTCTGAGTTTCCCTTCCAGAATCCACGAGAGGGCCTTGGCTACTCCTCTGACCTCTTCCTCTTGAGAAGTACAGACAGTGAATGTTTGTTTCATGGCATTGTAGAAATTCTTCTTGGGGTTTTCAGTTACTTTCTGCTTCAATTACTGAACCTCCTGTCTTCAGCGGCTTAAGAATTTGAGTTTTGGCTCAAGAAGAACCCCTTCTCGCACTGTGTTATTGGACATGCAAGTCTGGCTGCCATGGCAGCTGTGAGCTCCAAGATCCATGTGATTGCCCCCATGACATTACTAAAAGCTCTGCTGGCAGCCTCTGTGGTAGCTGGGTCCTCTGCTCAGATTTGTAGCCTTCTCTGTGCCAACAGGCAGTAGATTGAGCTTTGACGGGGAAAGGCTGTCAGGATTGTGGCTCACCTACTCTGGCCTTCTTCTGGGAACCTAATTCCTCCAATCTGCATCTCTGCCTTGACCTTGAAATCCTTCCTTCTCTCCCTTCCCCCCCTCTTTCCCGACTTCCCTCCTCCTCCCTTATTCTTTTGTTTTCCTTTTCTTTCTTCCCCCTCCTTCTTTCTATCCTGCTTGCTTCCCTCCCTCTCGTTCATTCTTTCCCTCCCTCCCCCTTTCTTCTCATCGTTTCTATCTGTTCTTAAGGATGCAAGGTCGGTTAATTATGAATTGGCATATAACAGGCAGAGGCAGACAAAACATCCTTAAAATGATGAAATTGAATATGTGAACCATTTGAAAGTTGCCCACATTCCTCTGATATTCCAAGAGATGCCTTGAAAGGCAAACATGGCATTAAGACATGGATAGGACTTAGGGAAAGACTTCTGGTTGCTCATCTGCTTCCATTTATCCACTTCCCACTTGGTATCTCTTCTTGAAACCATCACTCAATCTGCCTAAAATCCCTACTGTTCAGTGTAGAAAGATACATTCCCACAGAGTTCAAGTTTATTTGTATTGAAAGAAACATTTATTTTAAACCAATATGTTTGTTTGAAAGAAACCTTTAAAGATAGTTTGACTCTCCTACATATATTATGGTCTTTTGAGTTATAGAGAAGTTTGTTAAGCTTTGTAAAGAGAACATCATTAGTGAGCTAAGAAATAGACTTGAAGTTGACTAGCACCAGACACTGCAAGATGATGGAGACTGTTGGTTGGCTGAGATGCCATGAGATAAACACAAATAGACACCCTCCCTTGGCCTCCCATGCATGAGGAACAAGGAAATCAACACACATATATGCAAATACACTATCCATGCACACACATCTCCCCCCACACACCACAAATATACATACACATACCACACACATACTACATACACACCACATACACACACACACACACACACACACACACACACACATATATATCAAAAACACAAAAACACAAAAAATAAATGTTTATTTTTTTCTGTGGCCTTTTAGTGCTATTGCTAGTGATGAACAAAAGAGCTCAAAAGAGGAAATCAAGAGATAGAAAAGTGAAATAACTTGTCCAAGGCCTAGAATTCATCTTTGGCCCTTCCTTTTATCTTCATATTTTCAGAGTAAAAAAAATAAAGAATCAAGAACAATAAATAAATATGGTTTGGAATTAAGGTAATGTGGTTGGTTACAAGGTAATGAAAGCATGTGGTCCCTCAGTTAAGTGACCAAAATTACAATTACTAAATAGCCTAACTGGTTAGATTAAAGAAGTTAAAAACTGGTCCTGCAACATGGCTCAGCATATTCATTGCCAAACCTGAAGACCTGAAAAGAAAAAGCTCCCCAAAGCTGGTAGGAATTATGTTCCCAGAGGCCATAGAAAGTGGCTACCAGTCACCTGTAATTCCAGCTTCAAAGAATCCAATGCCATCTTTTGACCTCTGGATGCACCTGTGCACACACATGCTACATGCATGTCATGCACACAGACAGACTCACGTACATGTCATTTAAAATCAAATTACTTTTAATCTAAATTTTGTGACTCTGTCACACACGGAAATAATAGAATGTATGAGGCCACAGTTTCACGCCCCTGCATCTTACCCCCTGTGCCTTACTTACTGTCTAACAAAACTCAAGAAAAGCATCCACTCAGTGTGCCCCAAGGAGCAATGGTAAAAATCAGTCCTGAGTGTGGCAATCTGTCATTGCCATCGGCAAGGACTTGATGTCTTCCCATCGTGATTATTTGGAAGGAACTTTGTATTGAGGTGCACTTAGGTTGTTGTCACCACGGAATAAAGACTTTGTAACATCCGTATATATCCATTCATAAATATCCAAATGCAAATCAATCACTAACTATTCTGCCAATATATAGAAATGTATTAAGAATCAGATGAGCCTAGATTCCCATTCTCTCTGGTCAGTTAGGTTCTTCTGGTTTTTTTTGTTTTCATTGATTTAAAATTAGCACCAAGCAGCAGGTTTGCTCATAGCATTTTCATACATTTATTTCTGATTGCTCATGCCATTCTTCTATCTCAACGTTTTGTTTTGATATTTTTTTGTTTTGTTTTGAGACAGATTTTCAATGTATAGCCCTACCTGTTGGGGAACTGACTATGTAGACCAAGGTGGCACTAAACTCAGAGATCCAGGTGCCTCTGCCCCGCAAGTGCTGGGATTAAAGGCATGTACCACCATTGCCCAATGTAGTTTCTTCTCTCTCGCTTTCTACCATCTCCCCCTTTCTGCCCTCAATGGTCTCTTTCTACCAAGGAGCAGTATCATGTGTGTTCCATAAGCCTCCACCTCAATTTTGAAATCCTATTTTTCTTGCATTGATGTCATGGACTTTGACTGCCCCAGCTAAGAAAGTACCCAACTGTGTTTGATGCAAGTGTTTCCTTTCTGAGCTACTTTTCAATGAACCATGAGTGAAGAGGCTGGGGAAGGTCTTTTGTATGGAAGAGTTTAAGGATGTGGGATTCCAGGAGGTGTGAGGAGGAATGTAAGATCCCTGAACCTTGAGGTGCCGTGGGTCACCATACTGAGGGTGAATTATCTGAGTCCAGAGTCAAGGGAGGATATGTTCTTCAGACTGATAAAATCTGAACTTCACAAATCAAATGAGAAGTATGTCCCCAGCTCCCTCAGACAGCATTCCTTTGAAATAATTGAAAAATAAGTAATCTTTACCAACAACTCAAAAGAAAAAAATGGATCAGATCACATAGGAGTTCTCTGATGAAAGCATAACAATGGGAGAGTTAAGTATAATTTGAATTTTTAACTTATATGAGTGTTTGTATGTATGTATGTGCACCATATGTGTGCAGTGTCAGCAAAGGTCAGTAAAGATCATCAGACACCCTTGAACTAGAGTTACAGACCATTGTGAGCTGTCATGTGAGTTGCCAGAGTTTCAGTCCTGCCCGGTTCTCACAGTTGTTAAGACCCAAAAAAAAACACATAGAGGTCTACATTAACTATAAACTGATTGGCCTATTAGCTCAGGCTTCGTATTAACTCCTATAAAGAATATTAGCCCTTTATCCTTTCTATGTTAGCCACATGGCTCAGTACCTCTTCCAGCGAGGTAGTCACATCTTGCTTCTTCTGTGGCTGGTCAGGACTGCAGAGGAATGGGCTTCCTCCTTCCCAGAATTCTCCTGTTCTCATTGACCTGTCTCTACTTCCTACCTGGCTACTGACCAATCAGCATTTATTTAAAATATAATTGACAGAATACAGATAATTGTTCCACACCATGTTCTAGGAACCAACCTGTGTAATATGGAAGAACAGCCACACTCTTATCCCCTGAGTATCTCTAGAGCCCCTGATTTGAATGTTAAATCTTGACGTTCTAGTATGAGTCCCTAAAAATGGGGAACTAGTGTTATATCATTCAGCTTCCAAATTCCTCTAATTCATAATTGCTGCTTGTTTAGTAATCCTGGGCTAGGGTCTTGTAAGTCTGGACTTTCTTTTGTGGTGAATCCGGATGCCTTACATCTATAAGCTAAACTTAAAGACCTTTATGTGATAGTGAGGTGGGTTTTTTTTGTATTGTTCTTACTAAAATATTGGTACAGAGGCATGTATTTGTCAGAAAAGATGGTTTCTTCCTTTTAAAGATATATTTAGTTTCTATTTATGTACATGTGTGTATATGTGTTTGTGTGATATGTACACCTGTATGCACGTCCCCAAGGAGGCCAGAAAAGAATGTCAGATCCTCCAGAATGGCAGATACTGCTGCTTGGGAGTGTCCTGATATAGATGCTAGAAACTTAACTTAGGTTCCCAAAAGGAACAATGAGTGCTATTAGCTGCTGAGCCATCTCTTCAGCCTAGTTTCTTTCGTGCTCAATTAAAGTCAAATTGGGGGATTTTACACTGAAAAGCAAATGGGTTTTCTTAAAGAATTCCTGGGCAGTATTCCTTACTCTGGTTGCCTCGGTGCCATGAAACACGTTTTCCCAGGCTTTTAGGAACAAGCGTACAAGGAGACAAAGGTTAGGTTACTCAATAAGTCAGAACTTTAGACTCTTCAAAAGTCGTATTATTTATTTGCTGCCTATCAATATTTTAAGTGTTTCATATTAAGATAATTTAAATTGTTGAAGGATTTGTGTTTCATTATCTGTGTCTTATTCCTGGAGTCTCTTAAAATTACTCAATAACAAAATGAAGATAAATATATTAAACATATACATGTTTAACTCATTCAGTTTGTGTGTGTGTGCATAAACAATAAATTAGACATCTTCCCTCTAAGCTTTAGATTGAAGGCCCTTAAAGAATCTTAGAATTCCTTCCTTCCTTCCTTCCTTCCTTCCTTCCTTCCTTCCTTCCTTC